TTTTCAATTAATTAATTTTTAATTCACCGTGGTACAAATTGTATTTGGTTGTTTGAAAAAATAATGTTCATCTTTGCAAGCAGAGAGCAGATAGAGTTTAATTAACAGTTCATTTCACGTAATCTCATTAATCCAAGGATTCCATCTCACGGACGACAATTATAACCGGATTCGAATGTTTACAAAGGGAATTGTTTGTCGACAGCCCGGAGCGGGAAAGCTATCTGGTCGGCTTATTAATCCTCATCGGTGCCAAGCACAATAAATTAAAAATGTTGGATATCGTATTGCAAATTTCATTGGAAACTCGCACTGACTGCGGAGGAAGCGTCCTGGAGCGTTCTGAACGGACGACCTCGTCATCATTTAGCGCGGATGTTAACACATGATTCCCTATGTTAATTGAAAATGAAACGGATACGGTTTTGTATCATTGAACCTTTTGAAGACCTGATGTATAAACCGACTTGAATGCGATACGTAGGAAGTTAACTGCACGACTAACTCGGCGGAAACAGTTTTCCGGGATACTAGCGATGCAAAGCCGCAGGTAATCAAGAACAGCCAACAGGTCACAGGGAAAGTTTTAATGACTACGATCTATTAACAAAAGCGGTTTTGAGTTATAAAATCCCACCCTCTGCTGATACCAGGCCTTTCTACCGCTAAAAGCACAACAAGATTCCCTTTTGGAACCATTTTAAATAATTTACAAGTATGAAACTTCTATTTCATGTTTACGGCCTTCATTACTAATAAGAGAAACAGCATTTCACGTTCAGAGTGTTCCAGACGCCTAATGAACTAAAAAAGCTTATTGTCGACCTAATTTGCTACAATGAAATGTAAACTTGTACGGGATCTATTGAATCCGATGATTAATCCCATCGGCTTGCCCCGAAAACTCATTTTTTCCATTCGCTGCCTATTAGATCATAAAATTATCTCGATCCGATATGTACTTTTTTGGCATTATCCTTTCATATCCGGACAAAGTGATTTTGCAGGTGTGACGGATGCCCCGGCCACCAGGAACCCAGACCCCGGCAGCGACGGCCCACAGCCGGAGGAAGAAGGGACACCCGCAATGATACTTCATACCTTATTTTTGCACTGTGACCACTTCGGGGATGTGGATAAAAACCATTATATCTAGATTGGCATGGAAAAGTCCACATCCCCAAGGTCACAGTATGTACCTTCCGGATAAATGAAACCCTCATCCATCTAACCTGCAGAGTCACTCCAGACCAAAATTGTTCCAACCATTGCCCAATTAACCTATTTCATATCCAACCTTGTTATCCACTCAGACCCTCGAATTTTCCTTGAAACCGCCATAAATCGATACAACCCATCCGTGACACCCTGGTCCCTCATCCCAACCCCTTAGTCAAACACATTTTATCCTGAAACCCTCCTGATAATAAAAAATCTCTTGAACAAAATTCCAAGCTCTCTACTACAACCTTTCTATCCGCATAGAACTTCAGATTTGCTATCTAACCTAAGAAGTCGTTACAGAGCTTCCATTAAACCCTGGCCCTCAGTTCAACACCTTTCATTACGTAATCCTTCCCGATAATCCAAAGTCCTTTGAACCATTGACCAAACTACCCTACTTCGCATCCACTTGACCTCATATACGATCGTTTTTAAATATATTATTAAAGAAAAGTAACAAAAGTGAATAGTTTTTCAGTTCAGATCAGTCGAAGAATATGAAGCGCTAATCGAAAAAAAGGTCTTTTAGATTAACATAGCTAATCTTGTACTTGTAAATCAAGCGCCTTTGACTCAAATTGAACTTGCTAGTTTTCCTTTTTTTAAATAACGTACTACTTTCACAAACGTAGGAAATATATTTTCACCAAAAAGATATTCTGTTTCAAATACCTTTTCGATGATATTAACTTTATCTACAAATAAGTGTAATTGAAACAAGTGGAAATTTTGGTTAAAAAAGTAATGGGCCGAAGAATTTGGACGAAGCGTTGGCGTTGTCAGGGGGTTTGTTTTTCCTTCAGGTTTTCCAATGAGCAAATACCTCTGGTCGAAGGTCTCCGGATCAAATCGGCTTTCCATTCTACTTTGTTACCCGAGTCGTAATCCATCCAAACCGAATCGATTGAACAATTTGCGTCAGTCGTTAACCCTTACGTCGATCATTAAATTCGGCCATTTTCCACGGCCAGAATTAAACCCGGTTGGAAAAAAATCGGAAAAATTATTCCTGGCTTAATTACGTGTCAATGTTTTGTAACAAAAGCAGTCAATTCACTGACAAGCAAATAATTCCACCCACTTCTAATATGACTTGATTTGTATATATTTTTATATATTAATCGAAGTTTTCCATTTTTAACGTTTAATAATTGAGTCTTTGTCTAAAAACGTAAAAAATGTAAATTACTAAGGAAAATGGGGACAGATAAGATTTATTTTAATTTTGTTTTAGATTTTTAATTAACATTTCAATATCGCGTCTTTTCTCCTCTTGCTTTAATTATATCTCGAAGACGCCTCGGCATACTTTCTACAAGTCTGGAAATGTCTCTGCTGGATGTTAGCCCATTCTTCAGGAAGAGTCCTTTCACGAGCGTGGAGTGTATCAGGAATTGATGGACACGCTCTTATTCGTCTTTTGAGGTTATTCCATAAATGTTCGATGGGGCTCAAGTCTGGAGAACGGGATGGCCAGGCTAAGACCATGATGTTATGCTGTTGAAGGTACGTTCGAAATGTGCTTGCGACATGTGGCGGGCATTATCGGGCATTAGAATAGATATCGCTATATAGATTATTGCTGATTTCATAGAGGATATACAACGCATGATTTCATCCACATAGCGAGTGGCCGTCAAAGACAGCTCCACGAACTACAACCAACCCTATGCGACTTTCTATTGCAATTCCCGCAGACTATCACTAAACTACGTATAAAAGGACGGCTCTGGGAAAAATTACAGGCTTCGTACCTTTCATTTCGCCTTCTCCACACTCTTTCACACCCATCTGGAGATCGTAGAGCAAATGTACACTCATCTATAGAAAGTACAGCAAGACCATCGTCCAAAGACCAATGGCTGTGTTCTCGATCAAATGGGAGCCGTGCAACTCTGTGTGTTTTGGTAAGGTGCCTACACTAAGGTGTCGGTTTCACAAAATTCTCAAAGTCAAAAATCGGTCATCCTGTGGTTCTGTTACCCTAGGGTATCCAGAACTGGGCATTCTATAGTAGGACCTTGTTTCTCGAAAACGGCATCTCGCAGAGTTTCATAGGGAACTCCGTGTCAATTGCCGCATACCTGATGGAACATCCATCATCAATGGACTCGCCACACCACGCGCAACATCCTCAGCACTAAATGGCATCTTTAAGTTTAAATTGAAATTAAAAAAACAAAGATAAAACTAAACAGTTTATTGCTTCAGAATTCAAATGAGACTGAACAAACATTTTAAATTCCGTTAAAAGTAAACATTTTCGATTACCTCAATTGATATTCTAAATTTAAAATATAGCATAAATAGACATTTAGTGGAATTTTTGCCTGGCTGTGTAGTATGACTACTTTTACATAGAACGAAAAAACTTGTAATCGATTCTGTCGATAAAATATGAATTATAATACATGTATGTAGCATTATTTATGGGCCCACAGACATCAAGTGGTATCGCCATCCCTCTGCCCTTCGAACGGAAAATACTACTTTTTTCTTTGTCATTGATTTTCTCATAATTTGTCTCGTGTATATTCCGACAACGTCGATATCCCGTCACCTCCCATAACATGACAAGTATGGTTACATTCACTCCCCCAGCATACTCGTTATTCCTCGAGACGTGTTTAAACCCTCCAGTCACGCTAATAAATTACTTTCACCTTCCAGAAAACAAATTTTCACTCCAGAGTTTGTTTTATGCGTCCTCCTGGCCTCCGTCGACTAACGTTCTATAATATTTATTCAGAAATCGTGAGATGCGGTCTGGTATGATGTAGGTTTCAGAAAAACATTTTCTACATGTTGGAATGTTACAAATACNAGAAAAACATTTTCTTTATCGTGCCAACGTTTCGATCTTTATTGAGATCATCTTCAGGGCTCAAAGTGTAATTGTGCCATTCTTGCGTGTCGTGTTGAGAGTTGTTTAAATTTTACAAAAACATATAGGGTGTGAAAAAAATGAATTTATACAATGTTTATAAATCCCAGGCCCTGAAGATGATCTCAATAAAGATCGAAATATTGGCACGATAAAGAAAATGTTTTTCCTAAAACCTACGTCGAACCAGACCGCATATCACGACCCAAATAATCATATTTATTATTATTATGTAGTTCGTGATTTTCATATGAATGATGGGCAGGTTATTCAGGAACAGGATGGTTATTTATAGGTTTTCAAATAGATTTTGTCCGCTCTTCATAATAAAGGTTAATCGTTTTTATAACAGTAAATATAAAATAAAAAGTTGGATTATCTGTTTAAAAGCTTCTTTGATGGTTTGATAAAATCGAAATTTTTCTTCTTCCTTTCTCTATCTAACTTGTTTCCCCATTTCTGACTCTTTTGTGAACAGTTCCATTATAAGCTGTTGGCACGTGGCAAAGTATCTATCTTGCATGTATAATCTAAAATCGTGAGTGGAGTTAAGGAATTTGTTCTATTGCGAGCGGTAGAAGAGTTAATGTCTCACCAATCAACAAGTCGAATGAAACGGGAATAAAATCGATACTACAAATCGATACATAATGTCCCAAATGTTTATATTTTTTAACACGTAAAACATGCTTCTGCCATTGGATTCCAATGTAAATGTTTTGACGAAGGGACACTTGTTGATTACAGTTGGCAACCAGATGACCCGATGGTCGTTTAAAATCCACTTGATTTGTTAGTGCTGTCATTTTTCTTTTAATACGATCAATTAACGCCCTTAACTAACTATCAATGAACAATGTGATTAGCCAACCTGATGAGAATTTTGTTTTAGGTACCAAACCAAGAGTGACAATGGGGAAAAGCATGACGGAGGAAGGAACGATTGAAGAGAAACTTGAAGCAAGAAAGTGAATGTAGTAAACGATAACTGAACAACTCAGTAAGTACTTTAAGTTTTAATTTGAGCTTTCCAATACAAATTTCAAATAGAAGGCAAAGTGTTTAATCCATTGCTGGAATTCACAGTATTCAGGAGGGTTGCATATGGTTACATAGTGTTATGTTAGGGGGTGTCTTCTTAGGCGGTGATCGCGAACAGACTTCGGAGCTTGAAAGCTGTCAAATTCCATGAAATATACTCTTAATGCTTATAAGCGCGTGGAAGTCAAACTTTGAGAAAACTGTGGGAAGTAAGCTAGAATTTATTATTTTGATACTTTACCAATCTGGAAAACCACCTAAAGATGTACCCTTTCTAGTTAAGTCCGTCGTGGTTAAAAAAATTCCAACCGTGCATCAAGACCCACGAAATTTGTCAAAAATACTTATTTCTGTTCGATATCTACTTTGACGATTCTTTGAGAAATAGGCGTGATCTTATTACTTTATTGCTAGTTTAAAATAATGTGAAAAGCCCACATTGACCCATCTTTAATTAAATTAAGTGCCAAGTGCTTAAAAAATTTCGTCCAAATCCAGGAAGTTTGACCATAATACTTGTTTTTGAAGTGCAGTCAAACATGGAGAAATCTATGTGAAATAAGCTTGACTTTTTTACTTTATTGGTACATTAAATATGTGGAAAAACACCTGTTACCTAAATAAAGTACCGTGTGATATGATGACTTTTTTTTAAACGAGGGTTCGCAACAGCAGAGGTTATATCAACCCTCGGTGTGCCGGTGTTTTTGCAAAAAAAGCCCATTTGTAAGTATGTCTGGTTCCACAAACCTGTGGTAAGTATGCTTGATTTCTTTCTTTAGTCGTTGATTTAAATATGTGAAAAAGCACCTACCGTTGAGTACCTGTCAGAGAAAGTTCATGGTCGTTATGGAACTGCATCAAGTCTCACGAAATTTGGCCAAACTGTTTATGTTTTCGTGGATGTGAAACATTGACAAAACTATGAGAAAGAATCTTCATTTTATTACTTTATTGGTACGTTAATTATGTTGAAAACCTCGTATAGTTCTATGTTTTGCCCATATACTTAAAAACGTACGTCAATTTCCTCGAAGTACTATAATACTTATTTTTGTAAGGCAGTTATATGCAGTCTAATGTTTGCATTAGCCGTATTCACGAACTTTGTGTTAACCCTGCTAACTCTGTTAGGTCCTTTTAGAACGAAAAAAATGATGACGTAGACTTGTAAGAATCACCTAGTTAACATTGCTCGATCTAACAGGCCAGAGCCAATGTTAGGTGTTAGGTCGAAAATGTCACATTGCTACCCGTTAGGGCGTAGGTAACCAACATGGCAGCTGTGAATTTAACATCTAGTTTTTGTTTACACGTATTTTTTTTTCTTAAAAACGCAATAATGAAATCAAACCAATACATTTCTTTTGTTAATTTCTGACCTGTCCTTATACTCTCATTCATAATAGATGCGTCCCACATCCTATAAAGTTGTAGGCTGTTAGACGTTAAGGTACAAGTTAGGTATGTCCGCACGAATTCAAGCGTTTCTTTTTTAGTACTTTTCCAGTGCATAGATAGCATTTTGAATGCAAGAGTTGATTAATTTTTCTGTTTTATTAACGTCTGGCATCTTATAATTTAACACGAAAGAAAACCAGAACAACAAGCTTGCACGGACTGTTATATCTTTATTTTTGGTTCTACAATCGCCACGCGCAGCTTGCGGAAAAATTAAAGTTTAACGTGGTAAGAAAGGAAGAGGGCGGTCACGATCTTCCTGGACATTTTTCTATTCCAGTTAACACAGGTAACATCTTACAAACATCGGGAATACCCCTATTGACAGATTTGTAGGCACTAGTTTTACTTTAATGCTTTATTGGCCGTTTATATGTAAAAAAAGCACCAAATGATCAAAGTTTACTTAAAATATTGCCTGGTGCTACAAAAGTCCTTCAAGTCAATGAAATAAGACATTAATGTTTATTTTTGTAAGGAAGTCGAACTTTGAAAAACCTTTGGGAAAGAAGTATTATTTAATTACTTTTATTTATAGTTTAAATACGTAAGAAATCACATTTCAAATATGATGAAAAGCCCCTACGGATGTAGATCATAAACTTAAATAAAGTCCCAGGTGCTCAAAAAAGCCCGCCAAGTTTGATGAAATATGAACTTAATTTTTATTTATAAAAGACATGCAAAGCCCAAGAAAACTGGCAAAAATGCTTATTTTTGCGAGGAACTGAAACTTTGGCAAACTATTGGAAAATCCACATGATTTTATTACTTTATTGGTATTTTAAATATTTTGAAAAGCCCCTATGGATATAAATCGTAGGTTTACTTAAATAAAGTCCCAGGTGCTTAAAAAAGACCGCCAAGTTTGATGAAATATGAACTTAATTTTTATTTATAAAAGACATGCAAAGCCCAAGAAAACTGGCAAAAACGCTATTTTGCGAGGAACTGAAACTTTGACAAACCATTGGGAAATCCACATGATTTTATTACTTTATTGGTATTTTAAATATTTTGGAAAACCCCTATGGATATAAATCGTAGGTTTACTTAAATAAAGTCCCAGTTGGTTAAAAAAGTCTGTCAAGTTTGATGAAATATAAACTTAATTCTTATTTATAAAATACTTGCAATATCCCACGAAAGTTGACAAAAATGCTTACTTTTGCGAGGAAGTGAAACATTGACAAACCATTGGGAAATCCACATGATTTTATTAATATATTAGTATTCTAAATATGTTGAAAAGCCCCTTTGGATATAGATCATAGGTTTACCTGAATCAAGTCCCAGGTGCTTAAACAAGTCCGTCAAGTACCGTTGTAAGTACGATCGTAATTTTTTTGCAGTCAAATTGTACCGTCACTTATATTTTTTGGTGTTTTAAAGACCGGATTAGTTTGAAATCAAAATGTTAAATTTTATGGCAAAAATTTTCATTTCACGGGGAACAGTGTTAATTTGATGGTGATAATCTAGATTGTCTTTTAGATCGAGTAGGTCTAGTCCTAGTCCAGTCCGCCTAGGCTTGCAGAAGTATCGAGATGTATCACAGAAGTTTCAACCGTAAATGATATTGCCATGATGAAAGGACACTTGTTGATTCCGATCTGAAATCAGCTGATTCTAAATATAGTGAATATCAATAAAAATCGATTATCCAAGAATTTCGTCTTGTCAGGTCTGCTGTGATTTTTTATTTTTATGAAGTGTTATTATTTTTGTCCCGACAGTAAAATTATTTTAAGTATAGTAGTTTTGGGTTATAAAATGCGTTGTGCGACGTTTATTCGTGCGTCCGCGTCAGAGTCGAAGCCGCAAAGCGCGTAGACGGCCAGAGCCACGGCCTTCCGCCGGCGCGTTTCGCGTGTTTTTCGTTCGGGGTGAAAGTGCGCGCCGCCGCCGCCTCGGGGCGGGAATCGGTTTGCGTCCTGAGGCCGGAGGGCGTGCAGCGGGCGGAGGGCGGCTCTATCGAGCGGGCCGGTGACGCAAGCTCTACGTAGCAACAGCAGCAACAGAGAGGGGCAGATTTCAATGTCAAGGTGGAAGCTCACGGCCAAGGACTTTGGAAGTGGGGGCCCGCATTGCAGTCACTCTTTGACCATCTCACCGACAACATCAGGTATCAAAATTCACAGTTAGACATTTGCATTTTTCAGGTTGTCGTTTTTCCAGCCCGCCCCCGCTCAGGATCCGCGGAAAGCGTTTCGAGGGGCAAATTCACCTCGGCCCCGGAGGCGAGGAGGCGTATAGCGCGGCTGCGCGAGATCTCTCAATGAACCTTACTAACCTCGCATAACCCCCGGAAAAATGTCGACCGTGTCGTTTCTACGGGATTTCCGTCTTTTCTGCAATGGAGGCGGAGGCGGAGGGCGAGCGGAATCGCGGCCAGCACGAACGCGAACCCCCGTCGCCGCCCACCGCCTGAGGCGGATCCCCCGGAAAAATGTGCCATCGCGATTGTTTCCTCGGGGAAGACCATCCGGATTTTCTTTTATTACTCCGTAACGGACACTGTGTCGCAAAAAGTGGCTTTTTTATTTTCTCTTCCCATACGGAATCTCAGGATGTTCGCCCAACAATCAGAACCTCAAAACATCTTTCCTGTGCTATTTAAAAATCAAACACCAAAAGACATTAAATAATTAGTTTTTATCATGTAAGAATTGTGAAATACACTAAATAAAATACGCCCTATCAGAACGACGTCAGAAATAATGTTTACTATTAAAAAAATACTACTATAAAATTTCATAAACAAAACCTCGTCATATTTGACGATTTGTTTTGACCTCAGCCTTCCACAGGTTCGGATTTTGCAATCTGTTCTTCAACAATGCCATCCAAACCGGCCAGTTTCATTCCATTTCCCTTAGCCTCGTCAAGATAAAACTAACATTTTCCCAAAGTTGTCGGGACTTTGTTTACATATCGTACGAAAGTCTTGTTACGCTATTGCGAAGTACAACTCCGGTTAATTTTGTTGTGCCAGCTGTGGTTGGAAGGGGGCAATGTCAAGGTTGATCTGGACGCATGCGTATTTTCATAGTTTGCTACCAAAATATCTCAAATTTTGATATCAAAACAATACAAACGAAACGAAAAAAAAACATAAACAGAAGAATCACGTATAATTACGTCAAATTTGTGCAATTCAGTCAATCATAAAGACTTTTTAAAAAATCTTGTTTTGGACAATATGGTTCATTTCTGATGATTTTGAGAGATTTGTTTTACTTTAGATCTACACCCTTATCTTAGTGGTTTTATGTTCTTGTCGATTTTTTTTACGAGAAACAAAACAAAAAAAACCTAAATGCGCTCTGGTATGCAAGCTAGGTGCCTATGATTTGGGTGGTGACCTCGAACCTGTGTCCTTGGCTGGTTGATCATTAATATACCTAATAATAGCTCCCCCCTTGTTCTTCGGCCCTCTTCCCTTCTGGAAGGACCACGGAATATCCTTAAAAAAAAAAACGATCGTATTGTTACCCGGCGGAGGAAGGTAATCCGCCGTATTGACCTTCCGACCGTGTCACTCGATTTTTCCCGATTTGTTCAAATTGTGATGGAATATTTGGAAAATTCTCGGCTCGGACAAATCGGCGAAAATCCCACCCCCTCAACCGCGAATCTAAATTTACACGGCGGTACGAGCCAAGTTTCGAGGGAACGCCGGAAATAAATATTTACTTCGTGGCTGCCGTCGGTTTTTCTCTATTTTTTCCCTTTTTTCCGCGAAAATCTCTCTCATTTCTAAATACGTCCGGTTTAAACGGCGATAACTCAGTTTTAGTAAATTATCCGTGATCGTTATGAAAGCCGTTACACAATACGCCGCAACACCCCGCGATGAGTTTTGTGTCGGTGCAAGTGTTCCTCTTTTTTTTTGTATTCCAACCTACCAGCCCGACTTTAAATCAGGGCTCTTCATGTTTTATTGACAAGCCAGCTAGAATGTATGTTATTAACTAATTTGGGTACAAAGTAACTTAGAACCCAATTTTTTGACGCTTGTGCTACATAATTTTCCAAATATAACGTTAAGAGCATGATTGCATGTCTTTACTGGATGCACTCTCAGATAAACAGTATTTTCATGGTGTGCAGTGAGATTGAAAAAGAATCTAAAAAAATCTTTGCCCTGCTCACCAAAATTTAAAAAACAAAATCGATCGACTGTTATCAATTCCTTATCAATTTTGTAGTTATCATTGATTTTATTGTCTTCTCTTCTTCTTTCTTTGCATTATATATTCGCCTGGATTTTAAATTCCTTTCCTAGGTTTTTCTTAAACAAAATAATAATAATCAGATCACTCTTCTTCTGCATGCTTTATTCTGTGTCTCGCTTCTTTACAGTGTTGTCTTTAGTGCATTTATCATGGCATGGGTTGGGTGCTGGGTTTCGGCCACGCCCGTTTTACACTTGCATCTGCACTATTGGCTTTGTCATTTCATTTGTCTTGATTTGGAGTTTGTTTAAAACTTTTTTTCTATGGGAAGCTTGTAATCTGCAAGACTGTTTCATTCGGATCACGCATTTTCTTTTTCTCATGGCCAACGTCGTTTGCTCTCTTTCTCCTGATTTCCTTCAAGCAAAATTGGATTTTCTGAGCAGTGACATTCAAAATATCACAATTAGCCTATTATTGGAAGATGTTTCCTCGGCCCTAGGAGAACAATCTCGCAATTTTTTGATTCCTTTAAAACAGATTTTTAAACCGAGACAATTTCTAAAATTCAAATTTTTACGGTTTTTGCCGGATCAAATTAATGCCTTCATTGCACGGTGGATTAATAAAAGTAATAGATCGTCAAAATATATGAAGCGTCGGCTAAAGTTAATAATACAACTTAAGTGTTTGTGCGTAATTTGACCGCCGTAGTCATGAGGTCATCCATATCCTTCAGGTCGTTGGATCGATCCGTTCAGCCGGTATGAAAGTTTAAAACCGTGCAAATTGCTTGTAAGGTCTCGTCAAAGAGAAAGTTTGTGTAGGGCGAAAGAGCTCAGCTTACTTGGCACATCTTGTTTGAGAAACCAGTCTAGGCTGACACTCTCGCAACTGAGGAGTTAGGGGGTGAGTAGGTCTATGGGTCAACGTTTAATATGACGTGGAAAATAAAGGGGTTGTGAGATAGTTAAGAGGGTTTGAACGGATGGTTAGGGTTCAGGCAGCGAGAAGTGATCAAGTCTTAAAAGTTATGTTAAAGACTATGGAACTTGGAGAATTCTTCTGGTGCCTTTTGATTGGAATGCTTGGATTTGTTTGACATTAGATGGTTTTTTAGTACCCCACAGGTCCGATTGTTAAAAGTGGTCGCAGGGATGTTTAGTAATGTTAGTTGAGATTTTGCACCAGTTTATAAACCCAAGAAGTTCTTGGATGTTGGAGGATTTGGGTTAGAAGTCAGAATTCCTATGCCTTCCCCACGGATGGTTATGATGGAGTTTGGTGACCATCTCACCCGAGGGATTAGGCGACGTGGCCGATTCAAAGGAGGTGAGATAATAGAGTGGGCTTGAACGGTTGAGGTCATTTTGGACGGTGAGGTAAGAAGTTCTACAAATTCTTCTGAGGATTTTTGATTGTAATGCTTGGATAAGCTGGATGTTGGATGGATTTGTTGTACTTCATAGTTCTGCTACGTATGTCCGAATATGTTGAGTTTGTAGAGGGTTAGTTTTTTACAGTCATATGTGAATTTGGTCCAAGCAGTCTTATTAGTTGTGCAAGTCTTCTATTCAGTCTCATATGGATTTCACGTTTACCTGCTGTCTTGATATGGTCCTATGTCCCTGACTTGAGTGAGTGAGACTTTTGGCACCAGTCTTTGATGAAGATGTTCTTGGATGTTGGAAGATTTGGGTTAGAAGTCAGAATTTCGGTGACATCCCCACGGGTTGTAATGATGGCGTTAGTATGTATCGGCAGATCATCAATATAAATACTGTAGGAGGGTTAACGCGACGTGGACGATGGGAGGGGAGGGTTTTATGGGAAGGGTTAGTTTGAGACGAAACGTTAGAATGGCAATTTAGGAAACGTATCATTTTTTCAGAGAAGGCAGTGGTTAGGTTATTGTGGACAGTGAGGTTAGAGGCGTAGTAAGGAGTTTGGTGAACTATTTTGAGGACATGTGAGTGGTAATGCTTGGATGGGTTGGATATCGGATGGCTTCATGGTTCACTTCAGTTCTGTTTCGTATATCCAAATAGGTGTAGTTTTGTGGAGTGTTAGCTTTTTCAGTCTGATTTAAATTCGTGTCTTATTATTATCCAAGTCTTCTGCTAAGGTTTAACTTCAGCCTGCTTTCAAGTTATCTTCTTATTCTTTGATAAGCTCAACGTAATTAGATGTCGGAGGGTTCATATTTGAAAATAATTACGGTGTCGTCCACATAGGTGGTAATCATGTTTTTGGGTTGTAGAGGAAAACCCTCAGTATAAATGGAAAAAAGGGTGGGGCCAAGCATTCTCCCTATGGGACGGCTTGTAATGATCTGTTATATAAGTATAACTGTGTTCATTTTTTTTTTAATTTAACCTTGCCCTTCAATTTTTGCTATAGTGAGTTGACGAGATTTTATATCAGTCTACTGACTATCGCCCTAAGTCCTTTCTCGTTCAGTTTCTGTTTCCACATTTTGCACCATTCCTCGAACAGCTCAAGCTGTTTCTACATATTGGAGTTGTAAGATAAAATGTCTGTATGCTCAGTGTAGGTTATATGTATGGCGTTGAGATCTATTGGCAGATTAAAAGTATATAAAACAGGATGGAACCAAGTCTTGAACAAAGGGAGGTTAGAAATGTAGTAAAGTGCTTTGAGAATTCTTCTGAGTACTTTTGAGTGGAATTTTCGGATCTTTTTAATATTAGATGGTTTCGTGGCCCCCACTTGCCTGTAAATCCAGATAGGTCGAATTGTTGTTTTGTTGGCCTTTATTACGTTTGATGAACAATTCTTCTGTTCAGTTCCGCACGTAATTCTACGTCAGTCTGCATATTAAGTATTTGACTTGTGGGGATGTCGGTTTCCTTGTTGTTGGCGTATAGTCTATGACAATTGGTTTTGGCTCTATTTGACCTTGTTCAATGTCATTTTATGCATCATT